AGATGAAGAAATATACTAAAGTTTCATTTCTTTTTAGAACTTTTTTACATTACTTCGTCTTATTAGCTCTTATTTTTTTTACAGCGATTACTATTTTTGCCGGTACAGATCGCTATTATGGTTTTTAATAGGATAATCTCAGGTATGATATGACCATAGTTTTTAAATACAAAAAATTTAATTTTACTGAATTTTGTTACTTTTTAATAGTGAGTTTGTTATGTCTCTTCACTGAAGCTTAAAGTACTGATACGAAATTAAAGAGAACACCTAACAGAAATTTAATATTATCAAAATATTAAATTTGATTTATATCAATTTGAATTGACTATCTTACTTGTCAGGAAAAAGGTTATTATAATATTATACGGACTATTACCCTACATATTTTATGTTAAAAGTGTATGTAACGTTTTGTAAAATGCTAAATAAAATTCATAATTTCGTATATACACAAATGTATATACAAAATTGTATAATTTGTTTATAATTATAAATTATAACTTTAATTATAAAAAAAACTGTAATATTAATGTAAAAGTTCTAATTCATTTAAATTAAGGAAATCAAACAAAAATTTTTATAATTAAGAAAAACAATGTGTGCGTATTACTAGGTTGCAAGCCATCTTTCCCAAACTATAACGATGGACATTGTATTTATAAATAAATAATGAAAATCAAATTATTATACTGGGTGTTGCCATACCTAACAGATTCTTTAGTTTATTTCAAGTAAAAAAGTCCATATAAACATATGTCCTAAACGGCTTAGTTTCCGAAATACAGGTGAATGTTCGCAAATGTTTGACGAAACGGTAAATTGTGTTGGAGATATCTTCTTGTATAAATATGCCTTGCTTCACGTGAGTTATTATTCGCACCATTATAAATAAAGTGACAAAGTCAAAATCAGAATATAAAGACTAACTTTTTGTTAATGGATTCTTATTTTGGAACTTTTTTATTTCGAAACTTTTTTATTTCAGAAATTATGCCGTTTAAGATACATGTTATGGACTTTTTTATTTGAAATAAACCAAAGAATCGCTCTGTTGAGTATGGCAACATACTTAACTAATACCCTATATAATCACGTTGCAATTTACGTACCTTTATTATGAATATAACGTTGATTACGGCAACTTATTTATAATTTATTTGATACTTTAAGGAGCTTTTAGGAGACACATACAAAACTTTGCAGACAAAAGTAAAAATATTACTTTTCACAATATTGTTATTTTGAATATACGTATATAAACTATAATAAATATTAATTATTTTTGAGAATGACTACAAAAATGCACTATTTATAAATTATCAGAGAAATTACAGCTCATGTGTATCTTTTCGTATGCTATATTAGCTACTTGTGCTGTATTGTAGCTGTATTGTTCGTAATATTATTCATCTAACGTATGATAGATACGTATTCAAGAAACTAGTCATCACTTAAAAAGTTATTGTCCGTGTTAACAAAATATTTACTTTGCAGTTGTAGAAAATTTTCTTTACTAATAATAAGATAAAAATATTCTTTTAAATCTCAAAGTATAATCCTACTGACAAGTAATCAAAGTATGTACTAAACGTATGAACTATCAAAGTATGTACTGACTTCTGATGAATGCTGACGGTAACACGGTATTTAAAGCAAACAACTTACCGAGATCAAACGCATGCGCAATATTTAACTCCTTCCTTTATTCATTATCTTTTATATTTCGAGCGTACTTGGCATTGCACTTGGCGCTCACAAGCATAATTTCTTTGTTTAATATTTGTTTAAACAACAAAATTAAAAGGATTTCATAAGCAATGCAAATGTCAAGTAAAATGTATACTGTAT